AATTCGCTATCGTAATACTCGGTCAGGGCTTTATCCTTGGATTATTAAAAGAATTGGTTAGTACCTAATCATTGTTTCCCAGAAATTGGAAAAGAAATCAAGAGGCCAGGCGACGCAATTAACAGCCGAGTGTCTTATACACAATCACGAATTTCATCGATTCTACGGATCATAAAATAAATGAAAGTTCGCTCCGGATTTATAAGCGGACGTAATAAAGCCACTCTCTCGAAGATGCGTCATTAGTCACGGCTGATGTCCTTCCCGACCTCTTCGGTTCTCGTATTTATCCCTCTTCCGCTTAGCTTCGCGTCGCGTCGCGTCGCCTTTTCTCTTCATTCCTTTCTCCTCCCTCTTCTTTATGTCTTTATGACATTTAATTTTAAATAATCATTCGTATTGCTCGATATAATCTTATGATGCACGGATCCAGCTCAGATAGATATTTATTTGCTATAAATTCGCTACTCGATGAGGCTTTAATTGCGTCGCGTGCCTCCACTCGATCGACCACCGCACCCATTATTATTACACAAACGTAATTTACGAGCGCGACGAAGGATCCCAAAGTTTGCTTTAAGGCGTATACGATATTCGCGACCGAGTCACGAGGAATTACAGTCATTATGACAGGTATTACGCATCAACATCCCCATGCCGTCATCGCCAACTAGTTTTTTCGGCTTTTGTATGCGCAGTTGTTTTGACACAAAAGATATAAATTCCTACGATCGATAACAATGTTTCCGGCTTTTTATAAAATACAGTCATATCTCGTGTTAAATTCGCTTCTACCTACCATTAAACTCATTTCAGTTAAATCTAACAAGTAGCATTGAAATTGCCCTTAGTAGAGTATTCGCAAACACCGGAAATAGTTAAATTTGTTGGAAATATTATTTATAACCTCGCGAAAATGTGCCATAAATCATATAATGTGCCCAGCGAATCATGGTAATTTATTTATTGAAAGGTACATTCATTTTATTATTAGATAAACGTCAACTTATAACGTACGAATAGAACAATTATTTCATTTGGAATTTACGAATTTAAAACTCGATTCGTCGATTACTTATTTTTTAAAATAATTTTAAGTTTACTACTAAGAATAAATGGCTTAAATTTGACTACACATTGATCAATAACGCATTGTTTATAGAAATCGATACTTCACCACTCCCACTCAGCTTTACTATAACCATCGATAATAATATTACTAATATAATTAGACTTGAATATTTAATCCACGTAATCTATAAATGAGTATGGACCAAGGTGCATTATTTTAAAATCAAAAATATAAATTGCATTGCTCGACGTTCGTAATTCGAAATTTCTGTCTTGACTTTAATGTCCTTCGTGATTTTGAATTTTGAATTCTCTTCTTTTTTCATTCTATATGAAAACAGACATTTTTCATTCCAATGTGACAGAAGTTCTTTTATTATAATATACAAAGCATTAAAGGAAATGGTGAATGCACATGCCAAAAGCGTGTCAGAAATTTTCAAGCGTGTTTCCTCCAACATAATTCTATTTTATCATTTACTTTTTATTTCTTAAGAATTCTTCGTTGCTTTTCACGCAGTTATCTTTAACTATCCATCAAATAAATATATTATATATAAATGAAGCATTTTTACACACTAATTTTTACTTTGCTTGATTAATTGATGTGACTATACGGCTATGATTCTATAATACCAATTATGCGTATTTTTTTTTTTCTTTTAAGCGCAATGCTAGTATCATATACCGTAGTGAGCATAATCATAATTTTAAGAAAAACTTAGGAGCATATATCGATCTTAAAAATTACACAGGCCTCTTTTATTTTGCGTGCATGAGTAAAAATAATTATATATATATATATATATATATATATATATATCATAATGTACTTTCTAACAGTGTATTCTTAAAATATAGTGTTAAAAAATTAAAAAAAAGTGTTTCCGTACCATTTTGTTTATTCGGTAGTAAATTTATGTTTTATGTGCATATAATCCTTCGTGTACGGTAAACTCGATCGAATCAACCATACAAATGCTCCATAATAAAATAACCTTGGACGATCAATAATCATAATTGAAAATATAAACATCTCTCGAAGACCTTTTTGATTGCATATAAAATATAAAATTCATGGATTACTAGGCGGGGCTCCAATAATTTGTTCAGCATATCGCATCTACCGTATCAACATCACATCGTGAGGCTAAATTTCTGTCATCAAATGTCAAATAATACCTACTCGTCCTTATACGAGACTCGAAATATGACTTCCCAGTTCCTTTCAACCATTATCGTGCGTAACCGAACACCCTCATCTCCGTCGCCGGTACTTACTTTCCACGTAGAGGTGGTAAAAGCTGACCGCGGAGGATTTCCTCGCTGATATCGCGACTCCGTGTACTGGAGTCTCACAGATAAATAACGTCGTTGGCAAGAAAAGCGCGCCCTCATAAAATCGCGAACTATGGTTTACGCGAATCAAGGAATGTTGCCAAGCCACCTACGAGCACTCGTCCTGCGTTCGGCGGCTTCTCGCTCGCCTATTTGTGTACGAGTTGAGAAAGAAGGTCGGATCAAGGTTCCTATTCCCGCTTCCTCTCTTTCTCTCTCTCTCTCTCTCTCTCTCTCTCACACACACACACTCACACACCCTCCCCCTTCCCCCACTGCCGTCCTCACAGCCGCGATCATCTCTTCCCAGAAAACAGTGGACTAGGACTTGGCGTCGTCTTCCCTCTTATTTACGCGCGTTCGGCCATTGTTTTCTCGGCTGGATATTAAAAAATTTCACGGTATGTATTTACCGCTCCATGAGCTTTTATCAACTTAAAGTCGCGGCTTTTTCTTCAGATCCCCGCGTACGATGGCTATGAAGATTGTTTATCTTCCTCATAGTGAATGCGCAAGTAGGTTTTGGCTAAGAATTTTAAGGACAATTATTTAAAGTCCCGCAAGTATCTTAACGACTAATACGAAGAACTTATATTTATGACAATTATATGAAGAGTAAATGAAAAGATGCTAGTTTATGAGTAGCTGTAGCATATATTAATTTAGGTTTCATCCACGTTTTACGACATTAAATATTGCGCCTTTTTTAGGTTTTGACAATTTGATGAAATAACATTAATTTCAATTTTTTTCACTAGCGATAGTAATTATATAATCTATGTAAATATTTTTTATTTTCTTTCTTTCCTTTTTCTTTTTTTCCTTTTCTTTTTGTTTTTTGTTTTTGTTTTTTGTTTTTATTTTTGTTTTGTTTAATATTTGATAAATTCAATTAACAGATGTATCATAATAGAATTAATAATATTTACTACAATAGATGATGGATGATAGATGATTTGCTTCTTTAAAGTTCTTAATACTACATTTATGTTGAGAAGGTCCAACGTAGATCGTTTCTCAGATAAAGATCATTATCATAATTAGAATTTTGCAATATTTTCAATGATACCTTTTTCATTTTAAAACGTCAAAATTATTTGTAACAGTATGTGATTATTATCGACAAATTTTAATTAAAATTCCTATTAAATGAGATAATTTGAACATTTATCTTTTGAACAAACGTTAAAATGGATTAAGTTATTTATTATAAGGTGTATAAAAAAAAAAAAAAAAAAAATATCTACACAATAACTAATACGGCTTTAAAAATAGATTTTACATCTAATACGAGTTATTATGAGTCACAAAAAAAGTATTTCAGATCAAAATAGATAACGTCAAATTCAATGATAAGTTTCAACTTATTGATATTTTTTATCGTTTCTTTTTTCCTCTAACACGTGTAGACCACATTTTTATACTAAACACACGAGTAAAGATAATCTAAATAAATTTAACTTACCGTAAAAACAGTAAGAAAACATTATTCTAGTTGGACTAATTTTGTAGATTTTATAGCATAAAATAATTTACATATTTCAACTGATATTGTTAAGAAAAAAAAACATTACAAAATGTGATTAGTAGTTCCATTTTTGTATAATGAATAAATATATCACGTTGATATATTTATTATATATATATATATATATATATATAAATATGAGGTGTTTTTGTTTAATTGATATTTACAAATAAATTTTTAAGAAATATTATAAATACTTAAATGAAATAGTACTGTACATCCTACAATTTAGACTCCTTATCCTCCATTTATGATCTTTAATTATAATAAAATATTTCAAGATTCATCTAGTTATTGCAAAAGTTTTCAAGAACAAATCCATCAATCATTCTTCGTCACAATTTTCTTATATTCTTCATACGCGTACAAATTTATTACATTTTCCTAAGGTTAAAAAAGCATAAGCATTTCTATCTTCTTAAAAATAATCTTACATTTAATATAACGGATAACTTAGAATATAAATAAGTAACTTTTACTAAATAAAAAGTAGTTGATCGACTAGTTAATGAGTCTAAGCCAGTAGGAGTGGTACTTGTTGTCCGGCAAAACTGTCTAAAATTTTTAATTAAATCAATCCCTGAGCAATTTCATTCAAGATTTTACGAAGTGCTCGAGTGCTTAGAAACGGAACCAAATGCAACATTTTCATTGATAAAATGATTACCAATAACGTCGTGCCAGATGACAGATCTATTTGTACTCTAAGATTAATGACTTGGCAATGTTAGCCTTTTGAAATGTATACCGTCTACACGGAAATGCATTCGAGTTTCGAGTTTCGTCAACAAATTTTGGCACAACCAACTGCCCCCCTCCCCCTATACACTAACTTCTTTTTCCCCCTTATGGCCGGATAAACAGTCTGCACATATAATTGGCATTTTGTGTACGTGCTCGCTACATGAAATAGGTATACTCCTCAATACGGCCGACGTTCGCTCCTCTCTCTCTCTCTCTCTCTCTCTCTCTCTCTTTGTCTCTCTCTTTCTATCCCGATTGAAGATGGAATGCAGTTTTACCGGGTTTAAGAACTCGCGAGCTCACAACGCTGCTGCTCATCTGAAACGAATTGCCGGCGCGTGAGGCGCCACTGACCGCCTGTATCCGGGGGGTCGTCCTCCACTACCTTCGCCGCTTAACGGCCCAATGGGTGAAAGTCATTGGGTCTACGAATATGCTCGAAGCTAGAAGCTTTCGAGCTTTAAGTGCACGGAGCACAAGCATAGGTCGCTAATTTATTTGGAGGTATTTTCCGAGATTGTCACATTTCGCGCGCATTGGGCAACGTTGGAGGAAAGGTATTTAGTTTTTCGTTAGTAAAGGCCTTTGAATCAAATCAACTTTCAAGAATTAGACCATAGTATTGGAATATATATATATATATATATATATATATATATTTATATTTATATTTTACGTTTCGTAGAGGATATTACGATGCTCCGATATTAGAATCGGCGAAGAAATAAAATAGAGTTTTTCTCTACCACTTAGTAGTACTCATTTATATAATTAATTTGACGCGGAGAGATATAATCGATAGTGGACGACAGTTGTGTAAGTTTGTAATGAATCGTAAAATCTTGTCGAAAATCGCGAGTTAAATATCTTTGGAGAATTATGTATAATTGATTTGAATTGTAAATGTACATGAAAATTGTAAAATTACCATTTCTATATCTTCATTATCTGTGGTCCAGAATAGCGACCCGTTTGAATTCCCGTTTTAATCTCCAAAAAGCCGATTATAGTTAAAACGCCTTTTTTCTCGATTTCCTTTGAAAATACTTCGAGTTACGGATACTTGAAATAAGCATTTCAGGATAGTCGTGTACGCACAAGTGGCTAATTTCACCGGAACAAAAAAGTCATCCACTTATTCCAATTATAAACAGCACGACGATAAACGATAAAAATTTTCATAAAACGCTCCGTGAATATATTTTCACGAGCATAATGACGCCCGATTAATCAACAATGCTAGTTCAGAGAAAATAACGAATTTGTGTGTACGACTAAAAAACAATAAGTTTAAGCGGCACAACGCGAATTGTTTTATTACGTTCCATTGGCGCTTGATAGATTTATTGACACGTAGCTATGTAAATAATATAGTAGATCGATGGGAATAAAAAGACGTTCTTAAAATAGAAGAAAAGAGTGACAAACGTAAATTATTCCCGCTCTCGAAACACACGCGCGCGCTTGGAAATTACTTTTACATTGTGCTTATAGTGCGGATGTAATGAGCTTCGCAGACCACCTACGACCTTCGAAACTAATAAATGACTTATTTAAAATTAATACAGTGTAAGTTCGGGAATCGGCCTCAACCTTGTCCGTATTATTGTTGTAGTTGCAATTTAAAATTATACTCGGGAAAGTCGCTAATGATTTTTCGATCGAAATTATATGCACGCGCGTAATGTACGAGCGGAACAGCAACTACCTACCAATGTCATCCAATTTACCCATTTATCAACGATGATCACACGCTTATTATACACACTTTGACGACGCTCGTACTCTTAGGCATTGCTCGTTAGCCATGTTTTATAACTTTATTCTCAAGTGCATGATAGATTGTTATATCATTGGGACTCGGATGTAATTTTCCGTCGGGCATAATAACACTTCCTACAGAATAGCCACGACTTGTGTATTTTATTCTTTCTTTCTTTTTGATTTTTACTTTAATTTTATTCTTTAATTTTATTCGTTTGTTTGTTGTCGTTTGTTGTTTATTCCCTTATTCAATATGTAAATATAATTTAAGAGCGCGTGTCAGATTGGCTTGAATTCGTCGCTGCATAAAAGGCAAAGTGGCTGATGGAACATAGCAACTTATAACTGTACAGTTAATATACGGCTAGTCGGTTGACATTATCATCCCAGTACTGGATTCGTAATAACCAGTTATATTGGAATTTTTATGAAGATTTATATGGCCCGCCGCAATTCATGATTTTGGAGTATAATCATTGCTGATTGTACCAAGAGATTTCACGAAAATTCTCTTTAGATATCCCGTCAAATTAATATAAAGTACATCTGGTTTATCAAGCCATTGATAGCGTATCGTCGTCGATACCGACTACGGATGAAAGCGTCAATTACCTTCTCGGATGTAAGCTCGTCCGTTATCGTCAAAAAAAAATTTTATCAAGCCATTGATAGCGTATCGTCGTCGATACCGACTACGGATGAAAGCGTCAATTACCTTCTCGGATGTAAGCTCGTCCGTTATCGTCAAAAAAAAATAAAAAAAAAAACAAATAAATAAAAAATAATAAAAAAACTCGGTATATTTATGAATTACTTTTCAGAATGGCTTAACCGAGTACCGATCAAAAAATATATCTCTCCGCCCCACCTCTACATTTTCATCTTAATCCGAGAGTCGTTTTCGGCCATAACTCGAGTTTGTCTACTTTTTACCACGGGGATTGCGGCCAAGAAGGAAAATGAGCCTTCTGAATTACAGAGTTTTCTTTCAAGACAGATTTCCATTAAAGCGTTCGTGTCATTTTGTCCCAAGTCGCCGCATCCCGAAACGACGAGCGTCTCTTTTCCACCTGCACGTAAATGGGTTTATCAGCCCGGGCTTAACGAACCGTTAATCCGTCACTAATCGATCGGCTTGTTATTTTCAGGTCGGATCGTTGTTCCTCCCGCCGAGGAGAATGACCGATCTGAAATATCTTACGAATACTCGCTCCTGCGACAAAAAAAGTATAAAAATGTGTAAATGTCTAATGTTTCATTGATGTCGTTACCTTCTTCTTTTTTCGTTCTATTTTTCAATTGTTATATTCTATGCTATACACTTTTAATGCATAAGACTCTAATGAGATTAATAACAAGATGCAATGATACGTGCACGAAGGCATACGAATCTATGTACTGATATATGATTGCGTCGTTTTTAACTAAAATTTTAAACTCGTTTTTGATACAGCACATTTTACGTAAGATAATTAAAACTTAAATTAACAATAAAATGCAAATATTTTACGTTCAGCTCTTGGTATTACGATAGGATAGGTAATTATTTCTTATTCGTAGAAGGCAATTTAACTATTTCAATACGTTATGCTCTGGAACAAGTATTTTAATCTAAAGTATATTATAATCGAACTATGTACATTTACATATTTTAATCAAATTCTCTAAAATTATAATAATGTCGTTCTATAATAATGTTGAGATATAATTCGTACAAGTATATAAATATTCATAATTAATGAAATAAGCGTTATGAGTAAATTAAAATACATTTAATGAAATTTTTTCCATCGACTGTACATAATTTATCAAAGCAAACTAATTAATTTAGTTATATATATATATATATATAATAAATTATAGTCCATGTGAACATTTCTGGACACAATTTACTCGCTATAACTAGAATTTTTATTTATCTATGTTACCAAGTAACAGAGATTATAAAATATAATGCAATATCAATGATTATCAATATAGATTTAAGTATGATTGTTGTCTTTGTCTCGACTTAAAATTGATAAGTTATTGTATATATTGTATATATTGTTATCGAAATAAGAAATTATTAGATTAGACGAATTATTCGAGAAATAAAGAATTTTTATCAGAAAAACGTTTCTTCAATTTAAATAATTTTAATCTCACCGTGCAAACATAATTTCGCAATGAGAAAAACCTTATTTTAGATTTTTTTTTTTTATTTTTACTTTTATGAAAACATCGGAACTTTAAAAAAAAAAAAAAAATTTCGACATCGAGAAATTAAAGAAATTTGGAAATAATGATATTCTAAGACAAATAAATTTATTTTAGTTCTATAAGCATTCTATGTCCATATATAAGGTAACGTAAAATCTAGAAAACAGAATGACTTTATTTAATGACAGAATATTTTATTCAAATATTTGCAGGATGTTGGAGTTACTTATGAAATATTTTATTCTTCCATTTAATACGAACACTCCCAATCAATATATAACAATTAATGAAAACAATATCTATAACTTCAATATCATCCTAATAGGATAGTTAATTAGTTTATGAGATAATAAATTGAAATTGAAAATAAATATGTTTAAAAGTAACGTTATTATAACATTCGGTGCAGATTTTTGTACGTTGTACGACGCTGTAAAAGTCCTGTCCTCGTGCCTACACTACAAAACTTCGATATTTATTTTTTCTTGATTAATCGAATGAAAAAAATAAAAAATAAATAACAAAACGGTATAAGTTTTAAAATTATTATTATGTTTATTGTTCGTTTTTTTTCGTAATTGAATGTAACGAGCTTTTTCAACCGTCTCGAAATCTAATTATCTAACAATACATTAATAACTAATTTTCCATACCATAAAAGAGAGGCTAACAATAGAATTTCGGCGTATACCGATTATTTATAATTACGCAAGTTTTTATTAATTTTAATCCGCACAAACAGATAAATAAATCCATGTAAAGAGAACAAAAATAACAAAACCCTCGTGGCGCTAAAAGCAGGAGGTCTCGGTGATATTAAATATATTTCAATGGACCAGAAAGCTTGGAAAATGATAATGCTGCACCTTCGGGTGTTCCGCTACCTTCATCTTAGCCTCTTTTCATTAAATGGAAACTTACGACTCTCTTGGAAAAGGCTGTTAATTCGAGAACAGGTCGCGTACATTCATTATCGATTGCTTTTCGTGCACCGCATGTGCAAAGGAATGTGCGACACAATAAGAACAAGAGCAAAGAAGAGGATATAATAGAGGGAAGTGCTTTTTATTGTCTCCGGTTTTTTGTACGGCCTGTCGGGTGGTTTGGCTGACAGGGGCGGTGAGGTGGGAGGTGAGGCGAACACGATATCTATGCGATATAGCCGACGACTTCTCTCTCCCTTTTCAACCCTTTCGCGATTCAACCACCTCACCTACCTCATAGACGACTGCTGCTTCTGACAATCGTCTTTCATCTCGATGCATTTTTTCTTTTGATTCTCGGTAAAGGATAGGGGGAAGTTCCCGGGCGTCCGCGATGAAAAGTGTCCACCCCCCACCAATCCCCTCCCCGATAATGATTGCGCCGTGGGCATTTGGCGTCGTTACCACGAGAAATGTGAATTCCTTTAGTTTTTCATTGTTCGATGGTGGGGATATTTGGTATATGGGCCTTGGGAAATAAGGATCGATGGTCTGGTATTTCTGTTCTTATGTATTTTACTTAGATAAATAGCGCGAATTAAACTCGGAATTAAAAATTGTATGAGAGAGGATAGAAAGTTTGCTCGGCAGATGTCAGCGATTGAACTGAAAATAAATAATTATAAATCTTTATGGTCAAGAAAGTGCACTTAGAAGGCTAAAATAAATTAAAGTAACTTTACTAAATAAATCATAAAAATTTTATCGCCAACTTTTTATATTCGCTTTTCCACTTCTAGTATTTACGATTCTTTTTATAACCTCCGCGTAAATTATAAGCAAGAGACACACAATTTAACTTGAATAATTTAATACTAAGCGCCTTTCGTCTACTTCTATTAACGCTTGATTCGTAAATCATAATTTAATTTATAAGCGAGGATTTTTAACGTAAGAATAATTGTGATTATTGAAAAATCATCGCCAGGGAATTTGATATTAATTTAACAATCGAATTGCCGAATTCGAATAATAGTAAATTATAATGAATATTTACCATAATGCCACGTGTGTATACATTCAAATTATTGTTTTGCATATATTGTAGTTAAACTACCGGCACATCTTTACAAATAAACGCCAAGACCAACAACCTCATAAATATTCCTTCTTAACCGATCATTTGTCCTTGTTTAGCGGTTGATTTCCTTTCCACCGTATATAAGTTTCAAAATATGATGTACGACAGTGCGATGAATGTGCCTGGTAATGCTGCTGTATATCGAATATTTACGTGTAAAAAGAAAGAGAGGGAGTAATGCGCGGCACGGGAAAGGAGAAGACGTGCAATTATCTCGCTCGAATACATAATTAACTGTGGCGGTGAAAAGGAAGCCTTGCGGGATTATTCCGTTCCAAAGGGTTTTGTTACTTGTGCACGATGTTAATTATCAACAATAATCGGCAAAAAATGAAATTTTCATTTTCATTCTTCAATACCAGTGTTTTGAAAGTAAATAGCACGTTGAAAATTCGATATTTCATCCTCTCGCGTACACATTCTTACATATCATTCTTCCTTATATTATAAGTTAATACAAATCAAGCTAAATTTAATTGTCGATATATAGATTGGCTGTAATTCCGAATATTCTTTATAACAGACAGATAAAAGAAACCTTACTATAGATAAATAAATAAATAGAGCGCATTGCGTGAATAAGTGCGGGAGAATCGTTGAAAACAAAAAAATAAATAATTAAATAAAAATGATGTTTATAATTGTCATGAATGAAATTTCGACCAATCGAACGCATTCCTATTCAAATTGTAATTCATGTTATACCGACATCTCTATACTTTGAAAAATTATTATTTTCCATATCTACACTTCAAGATTATGATTTTCGATACGCTTATGTTACCGAAACTCTATAATTCACCATAATTTTTTGTAATTTACAATGTAAATGAATTCAAATGCTCTTTATTTTTGCATAATATTTCAAAGTCTCGGTTATAAATATGGTGAGGACTTTAATTATTGGCTCGAAGATGAAATCGTAATGAAATAGAAACTCTAAAATTAATTATGAATCAGATTCTGAAAATTGAAGTAAAAATATTTCTTATTTACATGCTAGGCCTTGAGCGAGTAAGATTTTCCGTTTCAATGTAGATCGTTGTACATCGTTGGGTAAAATATTTTTCGTATCATGCATATGGGAATGAAATCCAATTGTAGTAAACGTCAATTATTTCCTTAACTTTCTTTATATCATAAAATAAAGTGTTTCTACCTTCAATCCAATACGACATAATAATCCAATCGATATTTATTAATGTTATTCTACAATTATTCTCATAGACGCTCGTTTCCCATTAAATCTGAATCGATATTAACGTATGTAGGTCACTAATACATATGCGACTTTATCTTAATTCAATTGAATAGCTTCGATAATGTTCATTTATAAATCATGTTAAGTAAGACAATAATAGTACATCGGCCGTCTTCGTATCATCTTTATGACGTTGAAATTCCGACGTATCCACGTTCGCGGCATCGGACAACTAAGCACATGCGAAGCTGATACACTTATCCGCATAATTATATATGCCAATACGACGGTAAAATAATACGTACGTAGTGCAGTAAGCGGTAAATTCCGTGGGCGGGAAGCCTCGTAGACTCCGGTTCGCGTCTTACAAAAATGGCTGCCCATCAAAATTCATAGGACGTTGCGAGGGAAAAACGACGCCGATCTCGTAGGCGGAAAAGCCGAGTAGATGTACTGGAACGCGCGGGAACGCAAGCTTTAAAAATCAGAGGGAAAAAGTCGAGCACGCCAAAGAAGCACTACACCCGTGCGCGTTTTACATTTTACCCATTATAATACTTTCTTGCGGTATTGTAGCGGCCGTAAGCGTCGTATGTGGCTGCGATTTTTAATGGCTTCGCAATATAGGCCAATCGATGATTGGCCCCCAGACGCGGAATCCAATAAGCCGACACACCGACATTTACCTCGAGCACTGCGCGATTTTTACCCTCGAGCTAATTATTCATTCATCATCGGATGTACAATGTATGTACAGAATATTTAAGGGTTAAAGTCTTTACGGTATCTACTTTTAAAGACGATTTATCGTATTTGACCACAGTACAGACGATGCGCACGCATATCCCATCGCCATATATTATAATATTTAAGCACCCGTTAATTAATCTCGTAACGACACCCTCGTTGTTGTCTGCCAACAGCCACCCGACGTTAATTCGCATCATCGAGTGAGAAAACGTGGACAAAGAGCGACCAATGGCTTCATTTCGTAAATTCAATATCTAAAACATCGAAGCTAGAAAACTTTTGGCCACGAGCATTATTATTATCCATTAAGACGACAATAGCCGGCTCCGGGCAGACCCACTAACCGGTTAAGTGTGTGTGGTTGCAGGTGAGGCTCGATCGCAAGGTGACCGCGCCCAAGGGTCCTACCAGATCATGTCCCACCATAGCGACGACAACATGCTCATAGCGACCTCGGATTCGTTCTGGGAGCCGGGAAACTATAAGCGCACGACCAAGCGCATCGAGGACGGGCACAAACTCTGCGACAGCCTAATCGCCCTCGTGCAGGAACGCGCGGAGATCGAGAAAACGTACGCGAAGGCGCTCAAGGGATGGTCGAAGAACTGGAATGAGAAGATCGAGAAGGGCCCGGAGTACGGGACGACCGAGGCCGCGTGGAAGGGCGTACTCAGCGAGTCCGACAGGATCTGCGATCTCCACCTCAGGGTAAAGGAGAACCTCTGCAACGACATCATATTGCAGGTCAAGACGTGGCAAAAGGACACATATCATAAGGTAAAAAGGGATCGTTGCATCCCAATGCGCTCCGAGCGCGACATAATCCCGTATCCATAAGCCCGTTGATCTTTAAGTTTTTGTTGTTTTAATTTTTTAATTTTTTCGTTATTATAATGCTTTCGGATATTGTAAGAGGTAGGACATCGAGTGCACTTTCATCGATGTATTAATATTATAATATCGAAATACAATGTTCCGTGAAATTGCTTAGATCGAATTAGTTGGATTTTTGTATTGTTATCGCGTGCTATTTAAATATGGAAGAAAATACGTAAACCGTGAGATCCGCGATCTTTATCAGTCATTTAAATAGCAAAGATATTTCCTACAACGAAGCCAAGAATCAAACAAGAGACGGTGAATGCACAAAACAATATATCCTCCACAAAATAATGAAAGTCCTCCATACATTGGGTACTTAAAGAAAAAAGAGCCGCCCTTGCTTGCGAAATAGTCGTTAAAACAAACGTTATGCAATAAATGAAAATAATCAACAAAAAAACTGTGTCGCGCGCGCGTACGTTAATTTGTTGCAGTCGATGATGACGCTAAAAGAGAGGAAGGAGATGGAGGACGCCTTCAAAAAAGCTCAGAAACCCTGGGCGAAGATCCTGCAGAAGGTGGAGAAGGCCAAATCCGAGTATCACAACAGTTGCAAAACGGAACGCACGGCTGCCAATATGGAGAGGAACGCCTCCGCCGATAGTTCGCTATCCCCGGATCAGGTATCGCTCGTTTTTATCAGCTGCACACATACGCGATAACCATATTCCAATATTCACTTTATCGCGAGGCGTGCTTTATAGTTGAATACTTTACGGGATCGATTATTAGGATAATTCGATCGAATTGATTTTTGGGATGATGTTTCAGAGGTAGGTAGCGGAGGATTAAAGAGTAGAGCAAGTTCATTGATAATTCATAGTGATTTTTAATGAAAGGGATACGTTCGAAAAATTAAATAGAAAAATTGAAACACCATGAAACTAGTGTACGTAATATACAATTGTTAATTAATGTTTATAAATTTTTTGAAAATTAAATACTTTTCATGGGGGAGTCAGAGCTATTTGGATAATTAGTAATGGTTTTTTGGTAAAAATTTGGTAAAAATTTGGTAAAAATTTGGTAAATACGTTTTCATAAAGTAAAGTACATGCTTTCGGTTAGAATTAAATAACTTCATTATGTAAAACACTTTGAAGAAAATAGTTATCGTAATTAATATTAATGATACAACGATATGATGAACCTTATAGAAATTTATTTAAAATATGCAATTCCCTCTGGGAAGGTAAATATTATATTATTAGATTTGAAATTGCACTATAGCCAAATTTCTACACTTAAATCCACCTTTTCTTTAGCAAAATAATACATTTAAGCTTCACTACATACAATCGAAATCTAAAGTTTATGTTTCTATTTAATTTCTACTTAATGGTTCACAGCTTCGTAACTTTTAAATCTTATTATAATTTGCAAGTGAATATAAAACATTCGACCTTAATCTTACATAGTTATATACTAAATTGCCATTTTTTCTCATTTTTAAAATAATAGTCGTTTATGTTCTTGTAAAGTAATTACAATAGATATATAACGTTTAACGAAATAAACAATATTTTAATTGAAATTTTGTTGATTTTGTCAGAAGACGGTACATATTATTGAAATACTCTATTTTATAAAGGGACAGAGTATGAAATAGCCTAATAATTAACTAACAGACGTTTTAATGATTATTATGTATTTACACGATAAATTTGTATAACATTGTTCTTAATATACACATAAGGAATATTTTGAAAGAATTTTAGTAATTGTGGTATACGTTATTTTCAGGCTGCACGAGGCTCTGAAGGCGTATGTCAATAATTTCGTTGTGCATGTAGTTCAACTTATTAAAATATTTAACAAAGATACGCATGTATTATTTAAAAAATTGCCGATGATCTGATTATTTTAGATACTTATATCTTTATGTTTACATTTTTAAGTCTTAGACAGAGCAAAAAATTAATGCATGATCTTGGAAAAAATTTTTTTTTACCAATAATCGTATTTGTTTGTTCCTAATATTTTTATTGTAAAATATAATAAAAGTTCATCTAAATAATGAAAAATTTCTATTACCAATTAATATTAACCAATTAATCAACAAATCCCCTTTAATCATAATATAATACTTTCAAGATGAAATTTGAATATTTATTAGCAATATAAAGATAACAAAAATTACGATAATTAATCTTAATAAATTATTATTTTCATATACATATTTTATAAATTATTTAAGATATTAATACTTATGGTGTCTAGTTATAAAAAAAAGACAATGTTATTTAAATGTATGAGAATATTTTTACGTGCCGTGTTCTTTCATTTAAACATGATTAGCCATCAATAACGACTTTTTAAATTTATAATACTGTTACACTATATAAATAAATATATAATTAAATAAATTTGTAATATATACATATATAATATAATAATATCTTCGTGTTATATTTTACTAGAAATTAATAACTTTTTGAAGCGACCAATTATTAAATTATATGCAGAAATTATATGCATAGAATGCCTAAGGCTTTAATATTAAATATATCTAATCAATTTTTTTTTTACTTACAAGATTCTTTTTTAACCACTTAGTTAAAGATAATTTAATTTAAAGTTCTTTCGTGTTATTTTAAATATAAAGTTTAATTGTTAAAATCTTGCTTATATCTTACACTGTTTTATAAAAAATAATTTCATTGACACTAAAACGATGTATACAAATGCATAATTATTTAATAATATTAAAATAAAATATTAATTAATTCAAAATATATTAAAATTTTTATAAAGACGAATATTTTTTTACATATAAATTTTTTTACTTCGTCTAATATTGATTGCTTCATAAATGTGAAAAAAAAATCAATGAAAATCTGGGAATAATAAATTTAGTTTGCTAGAAAGTTTATATAAATATTTTTGTTATCGAAAATCGTTTCTTTGGTATAAAAGGCAATCATCTGTCATGAATTTGGCTTTAAAAAGAAAATATAAAAAAAATGTAAAAACATTTTTAGATGACAAATTGTGGCTGTGATGCTTGTGATTGGGCCATGAGAATTCGAAAGTCCTTTAGATCCTCTAAGATAAGCGACGTTGAGCTTGTATGTAATAACGAAAAAATGCATGATTTGCATGTTTTTATTAATTCGTTCTTTTTATTTCATTTTTATTTCCACTGCGCATCACATGTCGTTTGACTCACAGAAAGCTCTTACGGTAAGGAAAGCAAATTAATATAGTAGTGAAAATATATTTACTTACTTTAGGAATAGTTCTTTTAAAGTCCTTTTTACATCTTTCCTAAGCTATTAACTTCTAGAAAAGTTTTAAATGCATTAAAATTTGTTTTCCAAAATAGCAGAGCATTTGTGAAAAGAAAAACTTTTCCAAGTGTCTTTTAGAGTGAGTTATTATCTTGTGCTTAAAAAGCCTCTCGTCATACTTGCAAAGTTGACAAAAGCATATAGTTTGATAATTGTTATTTAAAATAATTTGCTTTTCATAGTCGCTTCTATCCTTATTCAATGGCGGCTTAAAGTTATTGAAGTTATCGTTTCTTTAAACGTTTTTTTTTTTTTGAAAATTTGAAATGTTTAAACCATTTTCTAGTTGTTTATGGTTGAATGTAAGGATGAGTAAAGTAAATAATTTATTTATATGTTAAGTAATTCATGTACTGAACGATAGACATGTTAGGTAGAATTATGAAAAAGAAACTTTATGTTGAATTTTGTATAATAAATATATTCAAAATCATTTTTAACATCACATATTTTTTATGTTACATTTATTTTTATCTGCTTTTTATATCAAAAAAGAAAAAAGAAGAAGAAAAGCTGAAAGTGTACTTAAGACATGCTTCAGTTACGCTTCACTGAGATTGATTATTTTTCAAAAATTCAAGAATATATTTTTCATAATATATTAATTATAGCCTTTTTATTGCTATATATATATATATATATATATATATAGTTTGGTATTAATAATGCTTGTTGACTTAATTTATATTTAAAATGAAAAGCTTTCTTTATAAGTAGAGAGAATTAAGGGCTATATAATTGATGTAGAGTAAAATTAATTTGGAAGGTTCTTAATAATGAAAAAACTTTTGTTAGACGTAAAGTCAAATTCCTATATAAATTTTAAAAACACCAACCATATTCACGGATACTCGAAATAAATACAATTGATCTAAAAATCCAAACTATTGCATTGTTATGATTCTTTGATAATTAATTAAATAATTAATTGATCTTTATTTGTCATATCATTTAGAACTAATGAAATAAATGCCATTAACAATAATTTATTGTTAATGTTTATTTACAGTCTATAATATATATATATATATATATATATATATATATACATATATATTGCATTAGCATATTGTAGCCTTGGCCTTACGTGACAGCAGAAGTTTTTCCGTAATGGCGGCTGTAAATTACTTATAAATCATGCTTATTATTTCTCTGTAGGTGAAGAAAATGCAAGATCGAGTACAAAAGACAAAAGAAGAAGTTCAAAAGGCCAAGGAAAAATACGAAAGTGCACTTCAAGAGATCAACCAGTACAATCCGAAATATATGGAGGATATGACTCAGGTATTTGAAAAGTGTCAAGAAATGGAGGCCCAACGATTACAATTCTTCAAAGATGTACTTTTCGGCATTCACAAATGCTTAAACATTTCCCAAGATCCATTGTAAGTACACTTTTCAAGTGAACTAATTTTCTTAATTCGCATTAAACGCAATTGAATGTTAATTTAGTTAATTGCATAAAATGTGCATAAAATCATGTCACGTTTTGTTAAAACATCTTGTTCCTAATATTTGTAAATACAATTTTAGTTAGTGAAATAGACGAATGCTTTTATTTTACTAATTATTATACCTTGAAATTAAACACTTTAATACAATAATACAATAAGTATGTTTAAAAACATTCCAGGCTTCCTCAAATCTACGAAGAGTTTTATCATACAATCAATAATGCAGATCATGAAAAGGATCTGAAATGGTGGTCGAATAACCATGGAGTGAATATGGCTATGGCCTGGCCGCAATTTGAGGTAATTTAAATAATCCGTTTCCTACAAAAACTACAATAACTGTTACGAAATTTTTGAATTCGCATGAATTAATGATTATCTATTTTTGATCTCATTGTAATATTTACTACTTATATCACCAATTTTAACGATGTTATAGTTTTTTTAACGTTTTCTGTTTTGATTTAATTTTTTATATTAAAGATATTTTCAAACGAATAGTATATAGATTATACATTAATGAATATTTAACTGTAGTACTTTTGTATTAGCCAATTATTGTTGAATAAGCATTTACAGCGTCTTAAAGTTTAGAAAGTTAATGATTTTTATAAGATTGACAGAAATATTTTAAAAAGTATTTTAAAAATACGAATTATTTACAAATATCACAGCGACAAATGTATCGTGAAAATTCTTTTTACAACATAATATTTACAAAAACTCAATTCTTTGTTTTAAAAATTAAAAGTACATATTATTAATTTTAATTTATAAGTTTTATTTCTCTTTAATTTTTATTTGAAAATATTGAAATCATATAGTCACAACAAATAAATAGTGAATATAAGTGAAATTAACAAATTTATCGTTATGAATTCAATAATAGATGAAAGTTATCATAAAAGAAAGTTACGCGCATAAGTACTGTTACTTTCACAACAACACTAGTCAAAAACTGAAATTACTAGTAAAAAACGAATTTTTCTTGTTTTCAAAGCTTTAAGACGCTTCATAACTAGTTTTTTAAACTTTATTCTCTCTCTCTCTCTCCCCCGCTCTCGCTCTCGCTCTCGCTCTCAATCTCAATCTCAATCTCTTTTCCTCTTTTTTTTCTCTTTATTTTTACACTTTCTGTTTTCCTGCTTCTGTCTATCTGTCTCTCTATCTGTCTATCTGTCTGTCTCTCTCTCTCTCTCTCTCTCTCACTCTCTCTTTTTTATTAGAGGCTCATATTTTCATATAGTTAGTCTAGACAAATGACCGAAGACGTATTAAAAAAAGAAGCGTAAGGTGAATGAGCCACTAATTATCATCGATTATTAAACGATAAACATTTTGATATTTAGATGAAATCATACAAATAAAATCCTCTTGATAAATTAAAAAAAAAGTTCCAAGTTTTTTCAATATTGCTATTTGTATATAGAAATTTATTTTAAATATTTAAATACTTTGCATTGCACGATTTTGCTATGTAAATTTTAAAAGAAAATAGTTTTCAGCATAATTATAGAAATATTAAAATTATGCCTATATTTTTAATAATAATATTGTGTAATAAATAATTAAACATTGGGTATTAAATTCTTTGTAATTCAGTTTCAAATTCACTAATAAGAATTAAGATTTTCATCGAAGATTATCCTGGATGAATTCGTCTACTTATACAGACTGTATTAAGATAGTTTTTATAAGGATTTAGGAAGTATAGGACTAAATTAAATTGGGCGTAATTGTTATGTTTGTAGCTTCAACTGAATTTATGTATTTGAAATATTGTCGTTAATTTGCAATAAAAACATTATATTATCAAATACTAATAAAAAATTATGAGAATATAAGTATTTAATATTTATAGGATTCAAAATCATACCGTTTCGCTATATAATCAAATCAACATCTATATTTAATAAATTTTGTAAATGACAAATTTATACGTAAAAAAGGAATAATAATTACGTTTGCCTATTATAAAATTTATACCCAAGTACACAATCATAATACAATGAAATAAAAAAAAACACAACAAGACAAAAAAACTAGATAACGAATTGCGCGGAAACTTTGCTACAGCACGTACAAATATAATAATGCCTTTTAAAAATATCGAAGATTAAGAATGCTGAACGACGGTTCATGAATGTGTGTATTTAAACGATGGTACACGTTCACCTCACGCAGTATATTATCCTCTCATTACATTCGATTAGAAATGTTTACGGAAATAGCGAGGGAAATATAAACAAAGAGAGACTACGGTAAATAAGGATAGAGTGGTACATGAAGGGAGTGATAAAGACTGGTGAGAGGGGGGAGGGGGGGGTACAAAGAGAAAAGAAGAGAAGGGGAGAGAGAGAGAGAGAGACAGACAGACAGACAGAGAGAGAGGGAGAGAGGGAGAGAGAGAGAGAGAGAGAGAGAGAGAGGAGAGCAAGAGAGCAAGAGAGAAAGAATGGTCGAGAGAATTGGGGGCGGGGGATTTGAGATAGATAAAGCATACGCATCGGAATGCGTGCATGTGAATCGTGTGTGCCCATTGCTATTTACGCAGGATTACACCGAGGAATTCCGCGACATCACCAAGGGCTCCAAGTCGAAGGAGGCGCTGCCTGCCGGCTCCATCACGCTAATCAATCAACGCCCCGTCGGCGAGGATCTGCATGTAAAACTTCTTTTTTGTTTCTTAATTCATTCGGTTTCCCACTTTACGTTCGAACCACTTGATTTCCATCTGTTTGCTTATTTCTTATTTTACTTCACTGTGCCCGTGGTTAATCCTCGTTGTCTTATCGGAAAGCATTTTCATCAGCACTTTCAAGACCTTTCCCTA